CCTAGGAGGACTTGATTTCTTACAAATTGCCTTGTAAGTATAGCACTTCTCCTTAGACACTAGCTCAGGATTCCATTTCTAACAGCCTGCTACTTTGGTCTCTGGAAACCCTGCCCCACCAATAATGCTCCACACCACCTATGTCTTATGATCCTTACAGTCCTACTTTGCCTAATATGGCTAAAATTTTCCTAGAAAAACTATTTGGCAATCTTTATTAAGAATGCTTAGAATCATTAACAAATATCCTTAGATACAATACCCAGAATATATCACAGGCAAAAAAAGGTGCAAAAAGAAATTTAATCCTATGGATATTCCCATTAGCAGACTTTATTTTCATGACAAATTGGTAAATATTATAAATCCATCTTTAAATAACTGAATAAATCAAACCATAATTCTCCCATATGGCAAAATGATATGCAAGCAGTAATAGCTACTTGGTAAGTAATTTTATGCCATGAAAAATGTATTTGTTATATGATGTACATGAGTAGTTCAAGTTAGAAAGCAAAATGTACTTTACATTTCCAAACTCATTTTGAAAAACAGCTAAAGTATTGATCCAAAAATATAAATACATGTAGGAAAAAAGCCTTGCAGGCTTATTTTGAAGAGCATGCTTCTGTTTTATAAGCAATATAGGCATTTTTCTACTTCTTCTGTCAATTTTTCTAAAATAATGAAATTCAATTTGTGACAATGAACATTATTTATTCCTCAGTAAGAAAAATTAAGTTATATTAAATATCATGTGCCTTGGTCACTTTTCTCTCATTGCTGAGACAAATATCAGACGCTCAAAGCCAAAGGGGAAAATGTTTATTTAGCTCATGGTTTGTAGAGGTTTCAGTCCATAGTTGGCTGGCTCCAAGGTAGGAGAGCAAAGGAGAAACAGTTCATGGTGAACAGAAGGTAGTAAAGGAAGCAAGTGGCAAGACAAACCTCTTTGTGTCCCTTATATTGTATCCAGGCTACCAGGATGAAAGCAGTGCCAAACCAATCAGTGGACTGACTTAGTGATCAGCCACCCTTAATCCTAGCATTGCATCATGAGTCAATCGTACACTCTAGATTCAGCCACCTCTAAAAAAAACCCCACCTATGACTGCTTGAGGCTTTGGGGAGACGTTTAAGCACAAGTCATTATATTATCTTGTACAAGGTGGACCTTCTAGGTATGTACAAGGTACCAAATCCATTTAATAAAACGTTTACACTGTTCATATATTCTATAAAGCACATTTTTCAAATGATCATGGTGTCTTATATTCTCCAAAAGTTCTGGTGTGAATTTGTATTCTAGAGGAAAGAAGTGACTTCATAGTTTCACAACTTAAATAGTATCTCTGTGCTGACAACCAAATGTGGTCTCCATTGAATTTTGAGCTCTCCCCTTGGAAGCCTAGGAGACGGATTTGTACTCAAAACACACCCACACACTTCTCCAGAATTCCTTTGTTCACTTAATGATAATATCATATTTCCATACCTAATTAAAACTAGCCATATAGAGGAATTTAATAAGTATATGTTGACTAATTTAATATGGTAATTATTTCAATACTTAAAAAGTGGCATTTTCAAGCTAAAAAAACCCTACCCATGTGTTTAGTAATTAATAGTGGGGGGTATGGGGTAGAAAATGAAGTCAGGTCAATAGCAGACAGAGAACACAAGTGCTTGTGGACTACCATATGGAGGAAATCTTCCCTCGAAAATAAATACAGCTGACTTGTTTCCATTTACTTATCTATGGGCAAAAAGGCAAGAGATACATTTATCTCTATTATTAGATGTGATTTATTTGTAGAACACAGTCAAGAAATGAGTGAAGCATATTACAGTAAAAAATAAATGCACCCAAACACTAAGGCATCATCTAAATCTGTGGATTACCCTTTGAAATATGTTCCCATGTCTATATCCTCCCTTGGCCCATAGTATTCTCAAATTGATAAATTCTCACTACCAGAAGAAAATTTTCCATACCTTTTGCATAGCTGACACTGTGGGGATTATGTTACTTGGGTTTTGATATCACAGGGCATAAAGCAACTCTAGTCAGGGCTCATACACATTATCAGCAGTCAGAATTCTGGTAAAATCAAAACCTCCTCTTTATCTTCAGGAAAGCGGTTTATGAAAGAGTATGTTCTAAGGCATTGAAATTTAATATTTTAGTGACACATGTTCAAAATATGATTTCCTGTTAGACTCTACAAAAACCTAATTTTCAATCACACCCTCCTAGTAGACTTTAAAAAGACGGACCTCAAAGGTAGCATTGTATTTGATATTTTCTGGTAGCCTCAGAACAAAACTTAAGTATGTATAATTGGAGATCTGCACACTCTCATAGAGATGAAAGAATGGGGCTCACTCTAACACAGAAGCTAAAAGGAAAGTAAGCTTATTTCCCTCTGCCACCCTGGAAAGGCATGGCTTTGAAACTACGAACAAGGAAAGAGGAAAGTAAGGCTGACGATGTAAATTGCATATTCCTTTGTGAATAAATTCTTATGTTGAGCAGGTTTTCCTAAACAGCACCTCCATTCCAATTATCTACCACAGAGTTTCTGTTATACATTCAACTCAGATATCCCACAAAACAGCTGGAATGTTTCCCTACTTGATAGGTATGTTTATGTATTCATAAACTACACATATGTTTTGTCACACTAATATATTACACATTCTACATACCTTCCTACAACCAAAAATATTTAGACAATGAGATACAATAAATAAACACTGAATTTCTATCTCTCTGCCTTGTGTTCAGTGAATTATCTTGTGCGTTTTCTGGGTAATGCTTATTTCTAGAAGCTGCTAAGATTTTGTTGTATCACAGCAAAAAGAACTTATCAATGTTATACCTGTTTTTACTTTATCATCAACTGTATACTATGGTTTCAAATAACCTGCAGCTACACATCCTGTCATAGTGGATGTTGCTGTGAGCATCTGTCTAACCAAAGACATGGCCGGCTGCTGATGCATAGCTAAATCAACATAATCCCACCCCTAGTCCAGTAGTATCATCCAATGATTGGTTGGAGCAGGAGAATAAAGACACATCTACTCATCTTGAAACACAGCAACCTAAAGGGATCTTTCTATCCTGAGTTCCTATTGGGGTTCAGTGAGGCCTCTGTTAAAACTACAGTTCAGTTCTCCTCCTTCCTGGACATGATCCTACATTTCTTATTCCCTGATTGGCTGCAAGGGCCACAAATCCCCACTCCAATTCTGTTCCTGCAGCACTATCAGATCCACGTTCTTTACCATATACTACAAGTCCATTTTGCTCAGATATCTGCTGCCTAACACATTGTTTATTGAGCCACTGGAAACTCAAGAAGGAAAGCCATATCTCAAGTTGTCCTGAAGCATCATTAGATTCTCACTGAGTTTTGATCAATTATCATCTGAAAGTACAGAAGCACTCTTTGGTTTTCAAACTGTGGGGAAGAAAAACTAGAATTCCAATGAAATCCGGCACATAGAAAGACTTCTCTTCCTCTAAGTACCAGAGTGGTACTGCTCTAGACCACAGAGTTTCTCTGTGTGATTACAGTCTTTATGCTGCTGCTCCACTGTTAACACAGTTCCATCCTTCACTGTCATTTCACCTCCTGTCCCAACCTCAAGGCTACTCAGTTCCACAAAATGCTAGTACCTGGCCCACAAGCATCAAAAGGTACCCTCAAAGTTCTTCTCTGGAGGAATTAACTGTAACTCCTTAGCGCCTGGGTTTTGCTCACCTGTAATCCTGATTCTACATTCTTCAGTGCAACTGGCTTCTGTAGCTCTCAACCCAAGTGAGCCACTGTTATCTCCTGGAAGGATAAATCTATTGTACTATACCAGCTCCTATATAGTTCTTACATGTCTTCTTAAAATACAGAGACCCCTAAGTTTCTGAGAACTGGCCCTCAGAAATTTAGACTTTCCCAACAATTACGAGACGCTTACCAGTGGAGTATTTTATATACAAGGAAAATTCAGGTCCATTCTCTGGAACATAGTATCAACTATCCATAGAATATTTTTCTTCAAAAATGAAAATATATATGCATGTAAACTGTTAGAGAATGTCTAGTAAGTAAAAACTTAAATACCAAATTGGTATTTACATCATGTAACATAATGTTAATCCCAGTTAATAGAGTATTTCAATGAAATATTCTTTTGAGAGGTATCTTTCATGCTTCATATATTATACATTAAAATGCAAGTATATAGTTAGTTGATGAAATAACATTATTAAAGGTAAAACAGAGGGCTGGGGATCTAGCTCAGCAGCATGGCACCTGCCCTGAAAGCATGAGATTGTGAGTTCAATTCCTTGTTCAAAAAAAGCTAAAAGCATTTTACATCTATTTCACAACAACCATTAGGCAGATTAAAACATAACGTGTAAAAGATGATGTAGTACATGAAATAAGTATTAAAAATATAGATTACTCATTTACAATTTATATTTTGTTGAGAATACAGAAACCGGGGCTGGGGATTTAGCTCAGCTGCATAAGCGCCTTCCTTGCAAGTGTGTGGTCGTGAGTTCGATCCCTGGTACCGATAAAAACGAAAAGTCCAAAAAAAAAAAAAAAAAATACAGAAACCTTCATAGCAAGGTTCACAGAGTGACATGGAAGATAACCCTGGCATCGTCTATATTTTGATATGTGTTTTCTTTAATAGTTAGAATAGTGAAGTTTATTCATTGAAGATGATGTGTATCTTAAGATTGTTATTATTGAAATATTGAGTCATGGCTTGTTTCACGGCTACAGATTGTTTTCCTGCTGATGTAGCACTGCACAATTGACAATAGATGACAAACATTCAACTAATTATTTGGGAAATCTTAATACTAATCAGTTATTCTACTTTGAAGTAGAATTATCAGATATAATTAACAAAGATATCAATTATAATAGAAAATAGCCACATGTTAGTAACATTGAATATAATACAGGAACAGCACTTACCTGTATTACATGCTTCAGTTTATCAATTATCTGATTTATTACAGGATCAGATCCTTTGACTCTGACTTCAGGATTTCCAGATTGGGCTTTGATTCCATTTCCAACCACACGCTGAGTATAGCTAAAGGAGTTAAAAGCAGAGACACATGACTTAGTAACCAGGCCTGCATGTTATCTGCCACCCTGCTCCAGTTGAGATGGGTTCAAAAAATTTCCTTCTATAAGAGGAATACACATATATAAAAATTCAAAAACAATTATATCTATTTTTTGAACATAGCTGTTACGCATGTTTTTATTTATATAAAATGCTTATCATGAAAAAATACACTGTTCTAAAACCAATATTTTCTCCTCTAGACTCCAATCAAAACTCATTACATTTTAAATGTTATTTACCAATATGCAGAAAGACTTGACTTTATCTGATTTTATCACCAGTTCTTGCTAAATTACACATATAAATGTGCCGAATTTACAGCAATTTATGTAAGTTATAGATAAGTTCCAATAATATTATCTATAGAGTGTTCATATATATTTAACTATACAAGTCAAATTTATTAACTTTATAATCAACTATAACTTGTAAAATCTTCAAATAAAGGAAACATTTGGCTTTTACTAGGATTCATTTCTTTGTAAAAGGATGAATTCACAGGCAAGGAAAGCTGTTTTAAGGTCCACTGCCTTCTCCAATGACAATCATACAGTTAGAATCCATCAGTCACACATATATTTAAGCTGCCTATTGTATTCAAAGTCCTATATAGTTGAACAGGATCTTAAGAAATTATAATTTTTGTCCACATAATATTCACTACTCCCTTGGGAATATACTATAGAAATTAAATCATTCTTTGGGGGATTCTTTCATTTTTAAAATATCTACTGGACTTCAGGTGTATGGATGGGTTTGATTTCCAGATAGTTTAATTTAGTACAAAGAAAAGTGAATAGTAAAAGGCAACACTATTGCAGCAGCTGGAAAGAACAGTGTGTGCCAAGTTTGAGGAGGTGATGACAGGGCGGTGGATATTCAGAATTTGGAAAGTTCCATTGGACTCACACAGTTAAGGAAAAGCTAAAGAAAAGTTACATCGTAGGAAGCCATTGTGATAATAATATAAAAATAAATCTTCAATAGTTTGCTTAGTGAGAACTGCAGAACAAATGCTACTATCCCAGGAAGGGAAAGAGAAAAAGCACAAGCAACAATACACACACAGGGAAGAATAACTAAGCGTCCATCTACAAAGTCAAGAATAACTAAGCGTCCATCTACAAAGTCAAGAATAACTAAGCGTCCATCTACAAAGTCGAGAAGATAAACACAGAATGGAGCCACATGGCAAAGCTTCTCTCCTCTGAGCAATCTGTTGGTTTACTTTAATATAATTATAGCAGCATCAGAGATTTTTCAGCAAGAATGCTCACATTATTTCACTATGATTTTCTTCCCATTGTACAGTTCTTATCAACTCATATGCATGCTATGGATTTTCTGCAATAATGGAAAATCTTTGAAAGGGTGAAGTTCTGATATTAAGAATATGAAAAAATGAAAGAGGTTTTACAGAATATCCAGCTCTTCCCAAGATGTTGTACTCTACTGACCTATTTTAAAAAGTGCATCAAACTATTCCTCACTAGGTTCTCCAAATGATATTAAATAATAGAACTCTTTGATAATGATATTATTAAATATATCAGAAAAATATAATAATATTAGTAAGTCTTGACTTAAAAACTAAGCTTGAGCTAACTTACTTGCACAGGTATAGGACATTTAGAGTTAGGTTTTTCAGTATCCATTCGGGATTTGAAAGAATACACAGCAACAAAAAATAATAAAAGGCAAACTACTACAAATATGTTGCTTCTTAACTTTGAAAGAATCAAATAAATTTAAATTCTACACAGCACTGTTACGTTATTCTTCATTATCTTGATATTCCAAGCAGATTACACATTTGGCTTCCTTATTAATATTGACCATTAATAATGATGAAGATAAACAATATCATTTGAATTATACAGATAAATGCATAACTATGATTCGGGCAATGCTTTAGTTATTCTCTTTGGATTTCATCCTTTTATCTTCTTGATAATTACCCATTATGAACAGGAGTATGTGCCACATGGCGCTCAAAGTACAGGAACTGTAAGTGACTAAAGTCACTTGCTGTTTTAATCTAAATTTGATTTCTGTATCTGTCTCCTCTTCCCACATGCAAAGCCTGCAAGTAGCATGGTTGCAAAAGCAGGTCAAGTTTTGGGCACAATGGACTTTTCCCATGACTGATTTGGACTTAGGATTTCTTGAAGCCTTTGGTGTGACTTCCTTAGAATCCACCAGGTTAGAATGTTTCTACTCAACTTTCCTTTCCTGTCCTGAGTCAGTCTTGCTTCTCAACAAATGTATCCCCAGCCTTACCAGCTTCTCTATATCCTCGCATAGAGCTCTTCTTCACAAGCACCCTTTTGTGCTCAACTTCCTTTTACCACCCACCCAGTCTGAGATGTCTTTTGATATTTGTATTACAACTGCGCCCTTTCTACAGATTAAGAATCCACAATCCTAACAATAACTAAATAACTAAATAACTAAATAACTTTCTAAAAGCCACAGCCTTTGTAAAGTGTGTAGCAGGAGTTTGAACCCAGGAATTGTGAACTTTTAAATACATTCATTCCATGATTAGTGAAAACTATTGAAATCAAGGAAAATGCATTAGCCATACAATTAGTTTCATGTAATTTGTTTTGAGATACTAGGAATGGGAGTCTGTACCATCACACTGAGCCTGTTTTGTTGTCATTGTGCTTATTTGTTTGTTTGTTTTTGAGCTAGAGTCTCACTAAATTGAAAAGCTGAGCTTGAATTTGCAGTTCTCCTGCCTCAGCCTCCAGGAATGCTAGGATTACAGCAGTGCACCAAACACAGTTTACATTTTTACTCTTTTTAATACCATGCTATAAAAGGCAAAAATGCTTATAGTTAGTAAGGGATATACAATTTCCTTCAAAAGAATCTTCAGCAACAGTTCCATTTCTCAAGCTAAATAGTGAAATAACAGTTGATAGCAAGATCAGAAGAAGCTAACAGAAAGCCATATGTGTTTTTCTAAGACTTTTAGAAACATAAGCATAATGCAGGCAATGGAAACTGAGACTCTTGTCTTAGTTTCAACTACTCTATTAATTGATTTAAATTCTAGCTTATTTGCAGACCGGGAGACTTTCTGTTACATTGCAGGAATTATATTGCATATTAATTGAAGGAATTCCTTATCATTTCCTTTTGTGCTTATTTTTCAGAATTAAATAACTATACGGACTTGGGTAAAATGTATCAAACTATAACAGATGAAGAATAAGACTTTCAGCTACTGTATTATTGAATATTTAAAAATAACTTTCTACTATCATTCAGATAAGGAAAAAAAACTGTGAAGTAGGAAATATAAAATACTTCAATTAAGTAAATTCTGCTTCCGTCAAGTTAAGAATGCATTGCAGTAGTGGTACAGAGAGACCAGAATGGTTTACATAAAAAGTGGAGATCTCATGTTGGCAAAGACGTGAAGTGACTCACTTCCCCGCAGCAGTTGAGAGGGAAGTGATCGCTACGCCGTTAATTGACCTTATGGCGACTCTGAACATGTTCCATGAGCCCAAGTATAAGGCCTATGATGTTTATCAAAGCAGGCACAAGAACGTTCAGGAAGCTCCATCACAACAACCCCAAACTGGATACAACTCGACTGCTTATAAATATTAACTCAGGTAAACAAATGGCCACACATTTATATAAAGAAATATTATACAGCAATGAGAATGAATGAATCACAACTGTCCTCAAAAATATTAACAAATCCCACAAAGTAGATGGTAAACATACATACTACATTGAATGATTTACTTAGAAATTTCCCAAAACTTTGAATTATGCTACAGATCACTATTAAGTGACTTGAAAATTTAGAATGCAAAATATTATACTATATTATTTGAGCTTTAATTTAAAAAACAACTGCTTTTGTTTAAAAAAATATTTAATTGTAGTTCTTGTACACTTTCTTTCTCTTAATGTAGTTACAACAAAAAAATCTTCATTAAACTACATATAGATAAAAGACACACATAGATATTTTTAATGTGAAAAAATTGTGCTGTCATCACTGAATGAGTAATTTAGTATCAGAATTTGAGAACTTACACCTTGAGCCTTTAATATGCATGCAAAATATTTTCATATTGAATTTTCTCTAAAAATGCATTTTATTTGAATCTTAGTATAAAATTTAATAGATCATTAATTACTTCTGTTTCCTCTAAACGTACACATGCAACGAATAAAAATTTCAAGATTCTCTACTGAAAACATGTTCATGTTTCAATGAGGAGAGAGCAAAACACAAAAATACAAATATCCAAATATTTTTGGAGAAACAGACTCACCATGTGTATTTATGTCTCCTATGTAGGGCTAGTAGGTAATGGATGACATCAGTTGAATAACAGTGTTCCTAAGTAGGTATTTTTCCTTGTTATTCATTAACAAGGAAAGAGCAACCACCAATATATTTATATTCTACAAAAATTTTTGAAATGATTAACAAAGTTTCACTTCTCTCTGTGCTGAAGATATAGACTATTCAAAGACGTGCTGATAAGTCTATGTACAATATTTCACTAGGCAGGCATTTCCCCTCCTTGTCCAACATGACCTATTTGACAATGCTGCTGTGCCCTACTGACTGATATTAGCTTCATTTTCTTTATGAAGCAATAGATATTAGTTCAGATTCACACCAAGTACGGTATTTTAAAGCACAGTTTCTGAGAGGAGGTATATGCCAGGAAGCTGATCCTGGGTTTACAAATCAGTTACAGGGTTCTATCAAAGACTGATTTTTGTAACTTCACTGAGAAAGGATGTAAAAACATGATCATTGATACCAGATGATGAAAATATCTGATCAGCTAGCCTTTTACCACAATGATATGTCCTAATAATTAATAGTGAGATTGGGAGTCACATTGTGTTGGGTTTTTTTTATTTGGTTCATTTATTTTTTTTGTACAACTAGTTATATAAGGGGATACTGAAAT